AAGGCCTGGTCTTCTTCTTATTTCTTCATTCCTGATTTTATCTCTTTTTTGTCACACCGGAAACTCTCCTAAGATATCTCGCCTCTGTTGTTACGATCTTCCGCTCATTAGTTGTAGTAAGGGTCCATGCTTGGCAATGGTAGCATCATGTCGGCCAAAAAAAAAAACTGTTCCTAAGAGATTTGCTTTGGTTGACAGAGGTATCTTTCTATACGTCAGAAGTGGTGGTAATTGCCCCATAACCTGACTTACTCGTATGTGGATTTCTTTATCCATTTTTCCAACTGAGGTGAAAAATGACCCTAGATATTTAAATTCGCTCGTTTTTGTGTTTTTTTTTTCCTTTGCAAAAGAAAAATGATTTATTTTACTATTTGTAATTACTTTTTAAATTTTTTACACATTTGCCATTTGGTTTAGGTCTAGCCAAGCATGTATGGGCTGTTAACAGTATTACCATAGCAAGAGAAAAAAAAAAAAAAATGCTCGCTGCATAATTACGTCACTCGTTGAGACATTACAGCTTGTCAAAGCTATCTGTGCTAGCTGTCCGTGCTTTCTCTTAACAGCGAAGCGACAAGGAGGATAGCCTCTCCAGTGCATGGTTACCTGTTAGTGCTTACACATGCGAGCTGATCATGCTTCGCGCCTGGGTAACTTAAGGGGTCACTACACGGCATTTTTTCAAATTTGTGACAAAAATATCACTTTTTCAATGTGTTCGTTTTTGTAAAGTTCCGGCATTCGTAGAATAGATTACACACAAAATTTATGTCATTTGTAAACAATGTTGGCTTTGAAAAGTTAATACTAAAGGCACCAACCCATGCACTTTTGTCAATTAAAAAAAAAGTTTAAAAGTCAGTTTTCTCACATATCTATATTTCTCTTTGTTGTGTGTGTGAAATCATAAAATCTCATCTAATATAAAGACTAGAAACAGGGACTGGTCTTTACAAATGTAGATTTTAGAAAGTTTTTGTATTTTAAAATTTGATTATTGTCATATGATGCAAGATTTTTTCGACTTTTTCAATAAACATACAATTTAAAATTATACGGAAAATATTTAAAAATATGTTTAAAATACGTAAACTACACCTGTACCTCTAAATATGATAAAAGGTCATGAATAATTTATTTTTTAATACGTATATTTGTTTTTGTAATTTTAGGATTCTAAGTATATGTTTTTTCCCCACAAGATGGCGGCTATTGCCATGACAACCATTTTTTTTTTTCGCACTTAAAGTATGCAATTGTAATATCACGTTTCCCTTCAAATGACCATTATAAAATAATTGCTCTAACTCTGTAAATTTTAAAACAAAAATTTTTTTTGGCGTAGTGACCCCTTAAAAGATGTGCTGCCTCCACAATACACGTTGGCTACGGTGTGCAACTTTATGAAAATGTCTTTGTTCAATAACAATTCAGTGTGCATGTTATTACATGAGAAGAGACAGTAAAACCACGTTAATACGATCTCGCTTTAAAAAAAACTTCTGGTTAACGTGAACAAAATGTTATGTGCCGATTGGTCTATACAAATATAGGTCTTGCCCTATATGCCTAACGGCGTTGAAAAGGGTACTTTACTTTTTTACGTTATTTTTTATTCTGCTTTGTTTATCTGTAAAGATTTTTTTAAGCCTGCGTTTTCTGTTTACAATATGTAATTATTCGCTGTAAGAAAAGTAAAAGTTCCTTTTAATGCCTTTAGGTGTAGAGGGCTTGGCACGGTCACCTTTTGTTTTTTAAGCCTTGGCAAATGTTGTTGTTTTTCTCTGCCAGACGGTGGCCATTTTTGCTCCATTTGTAGACTGGAAGGATGTAGTTTCGTCGCCCAGCTTCTGAGTTGAGTGCATGGCGTGACACTGTGAGCTGCGTTTGTTTTTCGTTGGCACAGGATCGGAGCAACTGTGGGGTGACCCATTTGCTATAAAGCTGAAACTAAGATTACCAGATTACCAGAGGGCATATAGGACCAGACCTATATATTTATAGACCAATCGGCACAAGATGGGTGATGTTGTCAGCATCACGCCGGCCGCCTTTACTTCCCGGGACTGTACCCGGTACCCACTTAAGGCTGGGTCGACCTGGGAGTCAAGGTCATTTTTGAAAAAAGGTTCGGATCTACCAGGGAGAGAACCCACGACCTTCCGATCCGCACACGAGCGTCTAGCCGCTACGCCACGGCGACTCACAATTATTCGCTGTGGTTTTCAAATTCACATAAATGAAACAAACACAAGTTTGCCCTAACACAACAGGCTATTCTTCTATTGTTTTGTTTCTGAGTTTAGGCAATGCCCGAAACGTTTAACAGGGGCGCTCTGCTCAATGTAGGGTTTTTGGAGGCCGATAAGATGCATCAGTTTGATTGCTACATCTTCCATGATGTGGACTTGATACCACTGAACGATCGACACTTGTACAGATGTGGCGATGATCCCAAACATTTTGCAGTTGCCATGAACAAATACAAATTTAAGTAAGATTACGCTAAATTTGATCTGCAGTTAAAGACAGAATAAGTATTCCTATTTTTCTTGTTCTTGTTCTTCTTCTTCCTCTTGTTCTTGTTCTTGTTCTTGTTCTTGTTCTTGTTCTTCTTCTTCTTCTTCTTCTTCTTTTTCTTTTCTCCTCCTCCTCCTTCTTCTTCTTCTTCTTCTTCTTCTTCTTCTTCTTCTTCTTCTTCTTCTTCTTCTTCTTCTTCTTCTTCTTCTTCTTCTTCTTCTTCTTCTTCTTCTTGTGAGCGTGTGTATGTGGGTGTATATATGCACGCGTGGGTTTTTGCATGCACTTTACAACTCATGCTTTTGTGTTCTTTTATAATATTCTTAATATGCATATCATCATATGATCATAACATGCTTTATTAGTAAAATACAACTGCTGTGCAAAAGATGGTTGACTGGAAGGGCCGAATGTAAGGGCCGAATGTAAGACGGGCCTGCGTGCCCAATTTGTGACCCTTTGAAAATAAAGTTCGTTCTTTCGTTCGTTCGTTCGTTCTTCTTTTTCTTCTTCTTCTTCTTCTTCTTCTTCTTCTTCTTCTTCTTCTTCTTCTTCTTCTTCTTCTTCTTCTTCTTCTTCTTCTTCTTCTTCTTCTTCTTCTTCTTCTTCTTCTTTTTTTTTCTTCTTCTTCATCATCATCATCATCTTCTTCTTCTTCTTCTTCTTCTTCTTCTTCTTCTTCTTCTTCTTCTTCTTCTTCTTCTTCTTCTTCTTCTTCTTCTTTCCTTTTTTTTTTGAACTACTGCTTATAATTGTTTTGATTACCTTCTTTCATCTTTTACTAAATTTTCAAGCACTGTCGATATCCGTCTTGTACTGTCGTAAATGTTTGTTGTATTTTTAAATTCTTTTCTCTGTATGTGTGTGTTTGTGTTTTAGCTCACCTTCTGCTTCTTTTGCCCTGACCTATAACTTTCTAGACATAGAACTATGCTATTAAATTGTTAGCAGGTATTCTATGCATGCATTCTGGGCAGCTTTGTTTTCTTTATCCTTTTGATTGGTCTGAATTTCAGTTCTCAATCCACTACATATTCTCTGCAGTGATAATAATTCCATTACAAACTTTCTAGGTCTGTTGCTGGGACCAATGATAGAACCACAGTTGGCAGAAGAATAGATAAGATTTTGGCGAAATAGTAGCTGCACAGATGCCTTTATCACTTCTAAACAATAGAAAAATATAAAAGAGGAACCCACATGGAATAGCAACAAAAAAAAAACACTTATTGGTGGCATTCGTAGACCAGGAGAGGACATTTGATAGAGTCAATAGACTCTAGACAATAATGGAAAGTAATGGCTCGATATGAAGAAAGCGAACAACTCATTGATGTGTGCAAAAGTATATAAAGGAATTATAAAAGTGTAGTAAGACAAAATCAGAGACCATCAAATGAATGAATGAATTGTTGAATGTTAAATTATGAATCGCCATTACATAACTCAAAACACTCCCATAAGCGTCCGTCCCTATCTTCAGCAGCAAGCGAAGAGTTTAAATTCGGATGGCACCAGTAACTGTCTGATTGTATATCTGTGTCGCCTTTTTCCCTGAATGTTAAACGTCTGCCAGATCCCCTGGTAGCTCCTCACAGTGCCATTCTAGAGAACATCTAAACAATTCACAAAAACATATAGAGCAGGACAGGGGTTTGTCTTATCACAACTTTTGTTTATAACATACGTCGATAGTATATGCAAAGATGCGAAGCCCAAAAACTAAAATATTAATTAGATCAACGAATTACTCTGTGCATGGCCAGGCCCTGACTAATGATTCCGCATTTTAACATGATATGAGATGGACTGAACTTGGAAATTAGGTGACGACCGACAATACTGATGGACAGAGAGCAAGATAAAAGCACTGCAACGTCTTTAACAGGACATGCAACTAACTGTCGATATATTGCAAGTTACACCCAGCTGGTCTGAATATGCTGCTGATTATACTTGGCTGCTGTATCCAAAAGTATATATATATATATATACACTTTTCAAACAAAACAACATCGACAGCAAAACAAAAGAAAAAGACAGTAACAACAAAAGACGCAGACTGTATACAAATAAGCTAGAACTGTAAAACGGATGTGCAAAACTCAAGTTCTGGAAAAATATTTAAGCCCAACAATGGACGAACAACCAGAATCTCCATCGGACTGTACAGCCCGTAAACGCTAAAAAGATGATGAAGAAGAAGGAAGAGGGAAGAAGAAGAAGAAGAAGAAGAAGAAGAAGAAGAAGAAGAAGAAGAAAGAAGAAAAAGAAGAATGTCAAAATCATAACACTGTTATGTTCCTTTCAGTACATATGTTTATATAATATAAATTTTATATATATATATATATGTATATATATATATATATATATATATATATATATATATATGTGTGTGTGTGTGTGTGTGTGTGTGTGTGTGTTCGTGTGTGTGTGTGTATGTGTGAATGTTACCACTAATGCAAGCTCTCTTTTGTCTAGATTACCTTACAAGGATTATTTTGGCGGGGCGGTGGGTTTCTCCAGACGTCAATTTCTGGATATCAATGGCTGCTCCAATGTCTTCTTTGGTTGGGGAGGCGAAGACGACGAGCTCAAAGAACGGTGTGTAATATCTGTATGGTGTGTCTGCTTTGTCTTATAATGCGGATATCTTGATAGCTGTCTGTTATGGGAGAGAATACACTAGAAACCTTTATGAGAAATGTCTGCCAGTGTCCCTCTGCCAGGCTTGGGAGTCAGGACCCAAGCAGGCCCACCCTCTGAAACTGTCTAAGAGGGTATGGGTCGAAACAATTGTTGACGAGGGATCTTCTCTGACGATTGGTAGACTCCTGTTTGTACATTCTCCCCTGTGGAGTTCTTCATATTATATAATTTTTTTTTTCCCATTTCAGTGCCTATGTCAGCTTCTCCTCATTATATAAAGTAAAGTAAAGTAAAGATCCCTTTCACGCCTTTAGGCGTATCGGGCATATGGGAAGAGCGCCCATATTTTTACAGACCATCAGCACTAAGTGGGTAATGTGGCCAGCATTACGCCGGCTGTCTTTACTTTCCCAGGACAGCCCATCAATGTACCCATTTGAGGCTGGGTCGACCTGCGACGTCCCATACCACGATAAAAATCCACGCAGCCCGCAGTGGGTTTCGATCGCGGTACGTTGGATTACAAGTTGGACTCGCAACGCCTTAGCCCCGGACGCCGCTCCTCATTATTTGCCAAGCATATATAATAAAATGAGAGTCGCTGTGTCGGTGAAGGCTAGGAAGGATCGGAAGGTCGTGGGTTCGTGTCTTCACGGAGCCGGATTTTTTATATTTTTAAATGACCTGGACTCCCTCCCTGGTCGACCCAGCCTTCAATGGGTACCAGGTCCTGGGAAGTAAAGGTGGCCGGTGTATCGCTGACCACATCATCCACCAAGTGCCGATTGCTCTATACAAATATAGGTCTAGCCCTTTACTTTTGCATAATGATAATATACGTACTGTGTGTTAAGAAACTCAACCTGAATCTGGTAAAATGTCAACTAATGGCGCAACTATAAAAAGATCTTTGCGCATTTTAGGTGAATCAACCATTTCGATCCAGTCGAATTTCGTCACCAGGAGATACCATGTGAAACGAATGTGATACTATTTGATATCACCCATAACATGTCTAAGAAGCAAAGAAACGCATTCATCATCATCGTGTAGCAGTTCCTTTGCAGAACGTCGCTCTCATCACGGTCTACCTGAAAGAAACTGAGTTTCTCGCCAGCTCTTCTGGCTTGTGTACTTTCATATTCAATAAGTCTCTTATATCCTGTGCCCATCTTTGTGTTGGTCGGTCCCTGTCTCTGCTTTTTATCACCGTTTTTTGTTTAAATTAAAATTCCATTTTCAAGACAAGGGGTTTCAAGACTGCACTACTGAATCATTATGTGACTCGGACGTATTTGTATGACATCAAGGCAAAAGCAAATGGAGTGATAAGCGAGTTTTAGAAACACATAAATGAACAGACATACTGAGCGAAAGATAGATTTACGGAGTGAGAATAAACACATACACATACAGTCAGACCTACATATATATATATGTAGATATATGTATGCATATATATATATATATATATATATATATATATATATATATATATATATATATATATATATATATATATATATATATTCTTTTTCTTCTTCTGCCTTTCTATCCTCCAATGGAGCATAGGCCCTGAACCAACTCACGCCAAGTCGTTCTATCCTTCGCCATTGCATGGAGCTCTCCCCACGTCTTCCCCATCTTTCTAACTTTATTCTCCAGCTCTGTTCTCCATATGTTTTTGGCCTTCCTTTATTTCTATGCCCCTGTGGGTTCCAATGCAAAGACATTCTAGTTATGCTGTTCTCCTGTTTTCTCAGTGTGTGTCCTTTCCAACGCCAGCGTCTTTTCCTCACCTCTTGGTCCACTGGAGTCTGTTTAGTTCTCTCCCAAAGTTCTACATTAGTTATTCTATCATAATATATATATATATATATATATATTTATATATATATATATATAATATATATATATATATATATATATATAGAGAGAGAGATGGAGATATATAGAGAGAGAGAGAGAGAGAGAGAGAGAGAGAGAGGGAGGGAAGGAGAGAGAGAGACAGATACTTAGTGAGAGAAAGATGAATGACAGAAAGTTTTGACTAAAACAACTGCCCGTTATGAAAGATGTTAAACCTGGACATTTACCGAACGAAAGATGTTAAACCTGGACATTTACCGAACGAAAGATGTTAAACCTGGACATTTACTGAACGAAAGATGTTAAACCTGGACATTTACTGCGGGCAACAAGCATCTTTAGAAAGCATCCACACCGACATCTAACACACACATAACAACTGTATAATCGATCACATTTTCAGTAACGATTTCCTGGGTGTTCTCCAGTTGATTGAGAACCTGTGTATTTGCATGATAAGTCAATATGCTTAACACAAAAATGGGCAAGCTTCAGTTTTCAATAACTCCCTCACCCCCCGACTATTGTTTCTGAACTCGATCCACAAAAAATGCGGCATTAGTAGTCTTATCATCCTTACCTGAACATACCTGACGTGTCAATATACCACAGGTTACACCTGGCTAGTGTGAATATACTGCAGCTTGCACCTGACTGGTGTGAATATACTGCAGCTTGCACCTCGCTGGTGTGAATATACTGCAGCTTGTACCTCGCTGGTGTGAATATACTGCAGCTAGCACCTCGCTGGTGTGAATATACTGCGGGTTACACAAGGACGGTGTAGCCGGTACGGGTACCCCAATTCATACTTTTTTTAAAGTTGAACCGGGTGTATGGGATGTGTCTCTTGGTGTGTCGTTCAGATTAAAATTAATCATTTTTTAAAAATAAATTTTAAATTAATTAAATTTTTTTTTTTAATTTAAAGGTTGTAAATCCTCAGGCAGTAGTCTAGAGGGCACAAACAGAGCGATCGATCAATAGATATTTTATGTTTCTTCTGCTTTTGCTTCTTCTTCTTTTTCTTTTTTTTCTTCTTCTTCTTCTTCTTCTTCTTCTTCTTCTTCTTCTTCTTCTTCTTCTTCTTCTTCTTCTTCTTCTGCTTCTGCTTCTTTCTTCTTCTTCTTCTTCTTCTTTCTTCTTCTTCTTCTTCTTTCTTCTTCTTCTTCTTCTTCTTCTTCTTCTGCTCTTCTTCTTCTTCTTCTTTCTCTTTCTTTTCTTCTTTCTTCTTCTTCTTCTTCTTCTTCTTCTTCTTCTTCTTCTTCTTCTTCTTCTTCTTCTTCTTCTTCTAATAAATAGCCTACCCCTCTCCCTTTCTCCAGACAGTTGTGGCCCCGGCGTTTAAGCAGAATCATACTGGAAGTTGTCTAAATATTGCTTATGTTGACATACTGTTTTCTAGACAAGCTTTAGTTGCGTTACCACCTCTCACATGTCTATGTCTTGTACCAGTGGCGGGATGCTCGTTTATTTACTTTTCAGTCTTAAATACGAAGTGGCTGTTAAAAAATAAAGATGGATAGAAGATGTCAGCAACGATTTAAGGACGAACACAATCAGGACATGAATGATACAGATGGACTCGTAGGAACAAAATGCAATGAATCGTGTTTTGTGGAGGAAGCACATCGGGAAAGGGATGAGAATGAAGTAAGAAATGATAACAGAAAGGATGAGAGCTGAGCGTCTGAGAAGAAACATACTGAATACAAATGTATGATGACAACAACTGTCCTGAAAGCCCATGCTATAATGGTGGAACAGTTTTCTTAACGCTTATCACACTCGATAATCCCATGGGGTTTGAGTTCCAACCCTCTGTTAGTACAATATAACGATATCGTCTGGAAAGACGGAAAGATGCCAATTTAATATATGCAGGGTTAATCGGAGGTGCTTAGTTTTGAGGTCATGGGCATCAAGACCCCCGACCCTCCCCCAGCGGCCCTAAACTTCTTGGTTCAATTCCCCTCACACCCACCCTCTCTCTCTCTCTCTCTCTCTCTCTCTCTCTCTCTCTCTCTCTCTCTCTCTCTCTCTCTATCTCTATCTCTCTCTATATCTCTCTCTTTCTCTCTCTCTATCGCTATCTCTCTCTATCTCTCTATCTCTCTCTCTATCTCTCTCTATCTATCTCTATCTCTCTCTCTATCTCTCTCTATCTCTCTCTATATCTCTCTCTATCTCTCTTTCTCTCTCTATCTCTATCTATCTCTCTGTCTCTATCTATCTCTCTCTATCTCTCTCTTTATCTCTCTCTATCTCTCTCTATCTCTCTCTCTCTTTCTCTCTCTATCTTCTCTCTCTCTATCTCTCTCTTTCTCTCTATATATCTCTCTCTATCTCTCTTTCTCTCTCATTATCTCTCTCTATCTCTCTCTTTCTATCTCTCTCTATATCTCTCTATCTCTCTCTCTTTCTCTCTCTCTCTTTCTATCTCTCTCTATCTCTCTCTCTTTCTCTCTCTCTCTTTCTATCTCTCTCTCTATCTCTCTATCTCTCTCTCTATCTCTCTCTCTATCTATCTCTCTCTTTCTCTCTCTATCTCTATCTCTCTCTTTCTCTCTCTATCTCTATCTCTCCCTCTCTCTCTTTCTCTCTCTCTCTCTCTCTCTCTCTCTCTCTCTCTCTCTCTCTCTCTCTGTCTTGCTTGTACGAGATGTTTTGTTTTGGGTTAAACAGTATCATACTAATTCCATTGTCTTGCAGGGTATTAAATAAAGGATATACCATCAACCGATCTCCGGTGGCCATTGCTCGCTATGACATGATCAAACATTCAAGGGACAAAGGAAATGAAGCTAATCCTGTAAGGTAAGTCCTTCCAAACAATGGAGGTAAAATCATGTATCTGTGATTTGAGCTACACACTGACATCACACAAATCAGAACCTTCCTATTGTTGTTGTTGTTATCGATCCAGCGGCGCGTGAGCTTTCGCCCTGTGGCCCAATGGTATGTAGTGGAATTTGCATGTTTCCACAAGCTGTTCTTTTCCTCCGTACAAGATGTTCCACTTGTCTGGTCTCGGAGGGAGTAGCATTTTTCTAGTCTCGCTGAGTTTTGGGCATTCAAAGAGATGGTGTTCAACAGTTTCGTAGGGGTAGTTACATAGCTGGCACTCTGGGGAGTGTTGTGGCTGTATTCTGTTTAGGTGTCCATTGAGTGGAGTATGTTACGTTCTAAATCTGAAGATGGTGGCCTGGTCCCTCCTTGTTAGATGGTTAATGCTGTCGTTAGGATCAGGGCCAGCCATGTGTCTATAAACCTCTCTTCCAGTGTCTCCTATGGCTCATCTGCTCAACCAAGTCTCTTTCTTTATAGCTCTTATAGAACCTTTCTATAACTGCTTCGTCCTGATCTTCTGCAGCTAGTTAATAGCTACAGTGTTGGTGATACCAGTAGCAATCTGACTGTACGCCCCTCATTCTTTTTCTATGAGCGGAGAGTATCGACTAGATCTCCTGGTCACTCCCTGCACCATTGTCTCCACACTGTGCCTAGATGTATACATATAATATATATGTAGCAGGTCCTTTGCAGAACGTCGCTCTCACACGGTCTGCCTGGAAAAAAAACGCGGTCTCTCGCCAGCTCTCCCGCCTCGTGTTCTTTCATACTGAAGGAGTCACTTATATCCTGTGCCTACCTTCGTGTTGTTCGACCCCTACCTCTCCTTTCAGGTACCATGCCTTCTGCTAAAATTTTTCAATCGGTCGTAGCGCTTGATAGAACCAAAATATTTCAGCTTACGATATTTATATATATACAAATATATTAGTGCTTCTGATTTGTTCGCATGCTACCAAAGGCTTTGAGCACATCTTTAGTGCGTCTCAAAATTCATGCTGTCACACTGTAACAAATATCTCGAAAACTTCTGTACTGACCAACATGAAATTATGCAGGTGGCATTAGACTTTCCGTGTCCTTATGATTCTACAAGTTTACAATTGCGCAGATGCTGCTGTTTTCGTAAAGCGGCAAAATTTTTTGATCTTTGTTTGACTCCTAATTTCGTTACCCTTGAAGAATAGAATATACAATAATTGACACACGTATGCAGATTGTTTGCAAATCATTTCACATGTGTAGCGATGCATAGTGATTACTTTGTTAGCCTATTCCCCACTCAATGAAAAACCCGCAACTCACGGGAAACGTATGCTGGAGATGAACACTTGAGAGTGAAACGCCCAAGAGACTCGTGCAGTTTGATGTTTTGAAACCGTCCCCTTACTTGGTGTATTCAATTACTGTAAGCATGCTAAATGTTCGTTTTGAATCAGTGTCTGGTTGTTTTTTTTTTTTTTTTTTTTTTCCCCGTATACCACAAATAGGGCAAAATGAAAACTACAAGTTATTTAACATTTCTAAAACAATACTTGCAATAACACGCTTATTAAAAGGCTGTATGCAAAATTGCAAAATTTTACAGATATTTAAAGTTTGGCAGGACTTGTGGAAAGGACTGTAGCTTTTCATTCATTAATTCACCACCAAGTGTCACACTACCAGCCAGCCTGTCTGCCTATACTGTAAAGGATAAACAAACAGGCAAATATATTGATTGGCACTCATAGAAAGAAGAAGAAAGATTCAAGAGCACGCCAAATAACATAACAATCAAAAGCTGTATTACCGTACCTGACACCTGCAAAACGTGTCTCATTGACCATGTCTATCGTACAGCTTTGAAATCCACAACTATGGAATACGGACAGAATTCGTCTCAAACCATTGAAATGGCATTATAGGTAACATATATTCATAACAATCAAACATAGGTAGAATAACAAACATAACAATTATAAACATAAAGGACACTGACCATACGTCTTTAAAACAATGAACATTGAAAAAAAGAAGTATGTAATTGGTCAGTTCCATTGTATTTACGTTATTTACATAAATAAACAGAAGGGGGATCTTTTGAGGTCGTAAAACCATTATATATAGTAAACAAAGAGACAATCTATTGATCGGTGTTAACAGAAAGAAGTATAAAGACAGATAGATACGCCAGAACATACAAATCGATAGCTATGGTTACCGTGCCTGGAAAATAGGATATCGGCTAACGAGATGTCTAACGAGATCGCCAAACCACTTGATCTGCTGTTTCTCGATGAATCTCGTACAAAGTGTCGTTCCCACAATTTGTCTGATAGTTTCATTATTCACTCGATCTCTGATGGTTAGGTTGGCTGCTTTTCTGGGCACCTCATCTCGAAGGTAGTGATTTTGCGTTTATGGGCTTTATATTGTGTTAATGTTTGGCACAGGTAGCTTAATCTTGTAATGGATATGCTGTTTATAATCTGTCTCTTTGAACTCATCGTTATGCTTGGATGTCTTAATAATGGTGACAATTGGTATATAAATGCACTTGCTTTCTGACAACTGGTTTCTATTTCTCTGTCAATTCTTCCATCTTCTGTGATCATAATTCCTATATATTTAGAGTCCTTAACTTTATTTAGACCAGAACCACTCAGTTGCATGTGTAGTGGGCTAGGGGTTCTACTAACTTGCATTGTTTCGATTTTGTTTGCATTTATCTCCATGTTGTATTTACTGCATGCTGAGTTTAACCTGTTAATGTGGTCTTGCAGTCTATCTTCTTCAGAGTGGAACAAGCACTGGTAGTCAGCAAATAGTAGTTCGTTTATTGTGGGTGAATCGATAACTTCTCCTCATGTGTGTACTTCCTCATGATTATAAAGATCTATGTTGTCTGTATCAGAACTGGCTTCTTTAGATTTTCTGTGGGCTAATTATTAACAATGATAAAACTGTTGTCAATCGGCCCCCAGGTAAAAAATTTGCTCTGATCCCAATATTACAGTAAATTATCAAAAGCTAAATGTAGTCGGTATATTCACATATTTACTTATTTTGGCAGTACCCTATCTCAGGCGTGATGCTGACCACATCACCCATCTTGTGCCGTTGGTCTATAAAAATATAGGTCTAGCCCTATATGCCCTATACGCCTAAAGGCGTGGAAAGGGTCCTTTACTACTTTTTTTTTAACCCTATCTAAGAGAGTCGACACTGACAAGATCAACGCTTGAAACTCAAGGCCCGCAACAGTTTCGGCAGACTTTAAACCAGTGTCTGGAATAGAGGTGGTATCTTCCTTCTGACCAAGAAAAAGGTTTACAGATCTGTATTTCTGTCAGTATTGCTCTACGCAGCGAAATGTCATGGGACTGGTAGTCTGGTAGTCTTAGTTTCAGCTTCATAGCAAACGGGTTGCCCCATCTTTGCTCCGCTCCTGTGCCAGCGAAAAACACTCAGAATGTCTATCACAGTCCCTTCTGGAAAGATTGACAGACTGCTGTCTCAGCATATCTAGCATACACTCGCATTAAAGCATATGGTAGCCATCCGAAGTGCTAACACAAACAGTCAAACATTAGAAATGCAGTTCATCATTGATGATAGCAGAACTTGTCGTCAACAGATCAGCAGTTGTCCGCGTGATCAATTTTAATACGGGTCCCGCAAGCTTTGAACGACAGGCATCGTGCCATTTTCTGAATCTACAATTCACACCACCACGTTGGTCACAGTCGAAAAAAAACATTCCAAATGCAATCCGCAGCTCACAGGGTCACGCCATGCATTCAACTCAGAAGCTGGGCGACGAAACTATATCCAGTCTACAAATGGAGCAAAAATGCATCGGCCACCGTCCGGCAGAAGCAAAAAATTTGCCTCTGTTCCGAACGGCGCCGCTGTCTAGCGTCCATTTTAACCGGAAGTATGTCATGGGAAGTAACGTCATGCTCACCACAACACCCACCCTGTGCTGATTGGTATATTGAAAAAAGAAAATAGCTAGACCTAGATGTACGTCTGAAGGTGTGGAGAAAAAAAGTTGTTACCTGTTTTCATTTTACTTTAGACACATTTTTTAGGAACAATGGTTTGGACGTAAAAAAACTGACAGCTGTCAGAAACAGGGAGCGTTATAATGAGTGAAGCCCCCCCCCCCCCCCCCCCCCCTTTTTCTCTTCTCTTCTTCTTCTTCTCCTACTTCGTCATATTTTTTTTTTTTCATTTTTCCCCTCATCTTTTTGACTTACAATGTAACCTAATGCGTAGCTCCTAATGTTCATTTCTATTTTCCATTTTTACATTTTCTGTAATTACAGAAAAAGAATCCTTTCATCAACAAAAGCCAGACAGGAGGTAGAAGGCCTCAACACCATTATATACAAAGTCAACAGCGTCAAGCTCGAGAACTTTTATATCTGGATAAACGTTACTTTGAACCGAACAGATATTTTACGAGTATGTATGCTGATTCTGTTGCTGCGACTGCTGCTGCTTCTTCTTCTTCTTCTCCTATTATTATTATTATTGCTTTTTTTTTCTTTTTTCTCTTCTTCTTCTTCTTCTTCTTCTTCTTCTTCTTCTTCTTCTTCTTCTTCTTCTTCTTCTTCTTTTTCTTCTCTTCTTCTTCTTCTTCTTCTTCTTCTTCTTCTTCTTCTTCTTCTTCTTCTTCTTCTTCGTCATATTTTTCTTTTTCTTCTCCTTCTTCTTCATAGTCACCAGCTGTAAACTCCGGTAGAAAATTCTTATACTTCGTCCATTTCTAGACTAAAGTATTACGAATCTGGCCTAATTGTATGCACGCTGTTGCTTCCTTACTTATGAGGCAAATGTACTCCGACCGCAAAAGGAACTCATAACATATCAACTCATATGACATGCTTTTCGGGGCAGTGTGTCTTTACTTGTTGTTTTACCCACTGTGGGGGTCCCAGAACCCACACAATGAGTTAGTTAGTTAGTTAGTTGCGTATCCTTTACAGGACGTTACAGAACCAACCCTAACAGCCCCTGGCTGTTGTGTGGTTTATCTAGGCAATTTACATCCAGTAGTTTGCCATTGCTCACTGGACGGTCGGCTTTCTTGATACCACTGTCGAAACCAACGCAAGGCGCATTGCCCGTAGCTGGGATCGAACCTGGCATCCCGGCATTACGAAGCGAAGCGTTCGCATCGACTTAGCCACAGAGCCGACACACAATGAGTATGTGTGTTTAAATCACCATTAAAAATGTTCAGCATCATGGCGGCTAGTAGACTGCAACTGGTGTGTGGTAGGTAGATAGGTAGTTGTACCCCACCAGAACATCACAAGCGATAAACACTGGTGACACAAAGTGCCACCATGCGGATGAGGATCACCCGTGGAGAGGTCTTAGAAACCCCTTTCACCCGTTAGGCCATATCTATGGATAGGCCATATTTATGCCCCGGCTATATTCAGGGACCCCGGCAGAAGCCAGGGTAGGGCTTCAAATAACAAATAAAATTGCATCTCACATGGGGTCGACGATATAACCGGTGTGTGTGTCGTTCAACCCCGCTAGGACCGTACAACGAGCGACATACACCTGGTGAGACAAAGTGTCACCATTCGGATGAGGATCACAAGGTCACAAGTCCCGGAAATCCCGTTCAACCGTTAAGTTATATTACGGTCCTCGACTGCATCAGGGTATGGCTTTAAAATAAGGAAAAATCGCCTCCCATATTGGGACGGTATCTATGAAATACATTAGACTGCAATTAGTGGGAACTATGAAAAGAATGGCAGCTGAAAAAGACACAAACATCAAACACACAAGAGTTGTAATGGATATGGACCATGACGCAGATCAACCCATCCTCCTCCTTTTCTCCTCCCTCCCAAAAAAAGGCCAAAGAAAAAAAAAAAGGAAAGAAAAAAGGGAAAGAAAAAGGAAAAAAAGGGAAAGGAAGAAAAAGAAAAAAAAAAAAAAGGGAAAAGGAAGGGAAAAGAAAAAAGGGAAAAAAGGAAAAAGAGGGGGAAGAAGAGCCCCCAGAAAAAGAAAAAAGAAAAGAAAAAACAGAAAAGAAAAACAAAAAAAAAAAAAGAGGAAAAGAAAGGGAAAAAAAAAAGGGGGGAAAAAAGAAATAAAAGAAAAAGGAAGGAAAGAAAAAGAAAAAGAAAAAGAAAAGGGAAGAAAAAAGAAGGAAAGAAAAAAAGGAAAAAAAAGGAAAAAGGAAAAAGAAGAAGAAGAAGAAGAAGAAGAAGAAAAAAAGGGAAAAAAGAAGAAGAAGAAAGAAGAAGAAGAAGAAGAATAAGAAGAAATAAGAAGAAAGAAAAAGGAAGAAAAAGGGAAGAAGGAAGACGAAAGAAGAACAAGAAGCAGAAGAAAAAGAAAAAAGAAAAAGGGAAGAAGAAAAGAAAAAAAGGAAAGGGGCCCCAAAAAAAGGAAAAAAAGAAGAAAAAAGAAGAAGAAGAAGAAGAAGAAGAAAAAAGAAGAAAAGAAAAGAAGAAGAAGAAGAAAGAAGAAAAAAGGGGAGAAGAAGAAGAAGAAGAAGAAGAAGGAAAAAGGGGAAGAAAAAAAAAGAAGAAGAAGAAGAAAAGAAGAAGAAAAAAAGGAAGAAAAAAGAAGAAGGAAAAAGGGAGAAAAAGGGAAAAAAGAAGAAAAAGAAAAAGGGAAAAAAAAGGGAAGAGAAAAAAAGAAGAAAAAAGAAAAGAAGAAGAAGAAGAAAGAAAGAAGAAGAAGAAGAAGAAGGAAGAAAAGAAAAAGGGAAAAGAAGAAGAAAAAAGAAGAAAAAAGAAGAAGAAGAAGAAGAAGGAAGAAGAAGAAAGAAGAAAAGAAGAAGAAGAAGAAAAAGAAGAAGAAGAAAAAAAGGGAAGAAAAAGGGAAAGAGAAGAAAAGAAGAAAAAAAAGAAGAAGAAGAAGAAAAAAAGAAGAAGAAGGAAAGAAAGAAGAAGAAGAAGAAGAAAAAAAAAGGGAAGAAGAAAAGAAAAAGGGGAAGAAGAAGAAGAAAAGAAGAAAAAGAAAAAGGGAAAAAGAAGAAAAGAAGAAGGAAGAAGAAAAGAAGAAGAAAAAAGAAGAAGAAAAAGAAGAAGAAGAAAGAAGAAAAAGAAAAAGGAAAAGAAAAAGAAGAAGAAGAAAAAGAAGAAGAAGAAGAAAAAAGGAAGAAGAAGAAGAAAAAAGGGAAAAAAGAAGAAAGAAAGGAAAAGAAGAAAAAAGAAAAAGAAAAGAAGAAGAAAAAAAAAGGAAGAAGAAGGAAAGAAGAAAAAGGGAAAGAAGAAGAAGAAGAAGAAGAAGAAGAAGAAAAGAAGAAGAAGAAGAAGAAAAAGGGAAAGGGAAAAAGGGAAGGAAGAAAAAGGGAAGAAGAAAAAAAGGGGAAAAGAAAAAAAGGGAAGATAAAAAAAGGAAGAAGAAGAAGAAGAAGAAGAAGAAGAAGAAAAAGGGAAAAGAAAGAAAAGAAAAGAAGAAGAAAAGAAGAAGGAAGAAAGAAAGAAGAAGAAAAAGAAGAAGAAGGAAGAAAAGGGAAAAAGAAGAAAAAAGAAGAAAAAGAAGGAAGAAGAAGAAGAAAAGAAAAAGAAAAGAAAAAAGGGGAAGAAGAAGAAGAAAGAAGAAGAGAAGAAGAAGAAGAAGAAAAGAAAAAAGAAGAAGAAGAAAAAAGAAAAGAAGAAGAAAAAAGAAAAGGAAGGAAGAAAAGAAAAAAGAAAAAAGGGGAAAGAAGGAAAAAAAAGGAAAAAAAGGGAAGAAGAAGAAGAAAAGAAAAAAGAAAAAAAGAAGAAGAAGAAGAAGAAAGAAGAAAAAAGAAAGAAGAAAAAAAAGGAAAGAAAGAGAAAGAAGAAAAAAGGAAAAAAAGAAGAAAGAAGAAGAAGAAGAAGAAGAGAAGAAGAAGAAGAAGAAAAAAGAAGAAGAAGAAAAAAAGAAGAAAGAAAAAGGGAAAAAAGAAGAAAAAAGAAGAAGAAGAAAAAAAGAAGAAGAAAGAGAAGAAGAAGAAAAAGAAGAAGAGAAGAAAAGAAGGAAGAAAAAGGGAAAAAAGGAAGAAGAAGAAGAAGAAGAAGAAGAAAAAAGAAGAAGGAAAGAAGAAGAAGAAAAAGGGAAGAAAGAAGAAGAAGAAGAAGAAGAAGAAAAAAAAAGAAGAAAAAAGAAGGAAGAAGAAAGGGAAGAAAGAAGAAGAAAAGAAGAAGAAGAAGAAAGAAGAAAAAAGAAGAAAAAGAAAAAAGAAAAAGAAGAAAAAGGGAAAGGAAGAAGAAAAGAAAAAAAGGAAGAAGAAGAAAAAAGGAAGAAGAAAAAAAAGAAGAAGAAAGAAAAAAAGGAAAAAGAAGAAGAAAAAGGGAAAAAAAGGAAGAAGAAGGAAAAAAGAAGAAGAAGAAGAAAAAAGAAGAAAAAAGAAAAAGGGAAGAAAAAAGAAAAAGAAGAAGAAGAAGAAGGAAAAAAGAAGAAAAGGAAAAAAAAGAAGAAGAAGGAAGAAAAAGAAAGAAGAAGAAAAAGAAGAAGAAAAGAAAAAAGAAGAAAAAAGAAAAAAGAAGGAAGAAGAAGGAAGAAGAAGAAGAAGAAGAAAAAAGGGAAAGAAAAGAAAAAAGAAAAGAAGAAGAAAAAGGGAAGAAGAAAAGAAGAAGAAGAAGAAAGAAGAAAAAGAAGAAGAAAAGAAGAAGAAAAAAAAGGAAGAAAAGAAGGAAGAAGAAAAGAAAGGAAAAAAGGGAAGAAGAAGAAGAAGAAGAAGAAGAAGAAGAAGAAAAGAAGAAGAAAGAAGAAGAAGAAAAAGAAAAAAAAAGGAAAAAAAAAGAAGAAGAAGAAGAAGAAGAAGAAAAAAAGAAGAAAGAAGAAAAAGGGAAGAAAGAAGAGAAGAAAAGAAAGAAGAAGAAGAAGAAGAAGAAAAAAAGAAGAAGAAGAAGGAAAAAAAAGAAGAAAAAAAGAAGAAAGAAAAAGGGGAAGAAAAGAAGAAGAAGAAGAAAAAAGAAGAAGAAGGAAAAAAGAAGAAAGAAGAAGAAGAAAAAAAAAGAAAAGAAAGAAAAAGGGAAAAAGGGAAGAAGAAAAAAGAAGAAAGAAAGAAGAAGAAGAAAAGAAGAAAGAAAAGAAGAAGAAGAAGAAGAAGAAGAAGAAGGAAGAAGAAAAAAGAAAGAAAAAGGAAGAAGAAGGGGGGGGGGAAAAAAGGGAAAAAGAAAGAAGAAAAAGGGAAAAAGGGAAGAAGAAAAAAGGAAGGGAAGAAGAAAAAGGGAAGAAGAAGAAGAAAAAAGGGAAAAAGGGAAAAAAGGGAAGAAGAAGAAGAAAAAGGGAAGAAGAAGAAAGAGAAGAAGAAGAAGAAGAAGAAGAAGAAGAAAAAGGGAAGAAGAAGAAAAGAAGAAGAAGAAGAAGAAGAAAAAAGAAGAAAAGAAGAAGAAGAAAGAAGAAGAAAAAAAGAAAAAAGAGAAGAAGAAGAAGGGAAGAAAGAAGAAGAAAAGAAGAAGAAGAAGAAGAAGGAAAAAGAAGAAAAAAGGAAGGGGAAAAAAGAAAGAAGAAGAAGAAAGGAAAGGGAAGAAGAAGAAGGAAAAAGAAGAAGAAGAAAAGAAGAAGAAAGAAGAAAAAAGGGAAAAAAGAGACGGGAAAAAAAAAAGGGGAAGAAAAAAAAAGAGGAAAAAGAGACTGTTTCGCCATTATTACAGAATTTTAATTTTTGGTTTAGGGGGGCCCGGGAAAAGAGAAAAACCCTTGGGACGGGGAAGGGGGAGGGGAGGTTTGGGTCCCCTTAGAAGGGGCCGCCCCATACACTTTTTTTTGGGGGGAAAAAAGGGGGAAAAAAAAAAAAGGGGTGGGGGGGGGTGGACTCAAGAGGTCTTATCTTATGTTGAGATACAATAATAATAAAAATAACAACAATAATAATAACAGTTTGTTTAAAGTTTCTCGTGAAAAAATAAGTTTATTAAAAAAAAAATATAATGTAAAAAACCCAAACAATTTAAAGTTTAATTTTTTTACATGGGTTGGGGGGCAGGGGAATGAAATTTTATTTTTTCTTTCCCTTTATTGGGTAAAGGCAAAAACCAAGAATTAAAAAAAAAAGAAAAAATAGCAGCCTAACCCCTTTTTTCCCAGAAAATGTTTTGCAGCTTTGGGTGTGGAGCTACCTCCCCCTCCCCCCCCCCCCCCCCCCCCCCCCCCCCCCCCCCCCCCCCCCCCCCCCCCCCCCCCCCCCTCCCCCCCATTTTTTTTCGTTGGCGTGCCCCGATTTGCAGTAGGTGTTTAAAAAGATAGTAATCTGCTGAAAACCAAAAAGCCCGGGGTTAATGCCCGACCCACATTAAAAACCTTTTTTCCGATTGGTTTTTTAAAAAAATAGGGGGCTTTCGCATATTTCCCCATGGCCCCAAGAAGTTTAAAGGGGGTCTTTTTCTTTTCTTAAAATTGTTTTTTTTAATAATTGACGGTTTATATTTGGCTTGGACACCATATTTTTTTGGACTTCTTTTCCCCTCCGGATCCTTCGTTTCAGAAAAAAAAACTAATTACAAATCCAAGGGAAGTGGGGACGGTTTTTAGCACGTATATTGGAAGGAAAACACTATCGTGCAGGGTTCCATATCCCTTCTGTGTTTCGTTGCACCATTACAGCTTTGTCCTTCAGTGTGGTTTGGAAAAAAAACAACAGGGCCAGGATTGCGTCTCTTGTTTGGTCCAATAGCAAACCAGTTGTTAAATTCTTCTCTGTTAACTTGATTAATTTGACAAGGGGGAAAGCATTTTAACTTTTCCCACTGAAAGGATGCCTGGGGTTATCTGTAACTGATGGTGTTTATTCGGGCAACCGAAAATGGTCTTGGTTTTACAATCCTTTCAAAAAAATACGGTTAATTCCTTTTGGTAAAAAAATTGTGTTTTTTTCCTTTAAGAAATATATTTTTTCTAAAAAAAAAAATTTCTTGTTCTTGTATTATTTTTCTTTTCAGGGGGGGGACCTCGGATGTCCAAGTGGTCGATACTAAACTTGGGATTTTATTGTGGGACTTCAGTGAGGGGGGACTTTTTATGTACAAAAATTTTAAAAAAGCACAACCGGGGGGGGCCAAAGGATTGATATATTTACAAAAAACACAAATTAACGATACCCAACCCAAAACGAAGACAATTTAAATTAACCCAACAAGCCCCATGGACCCACGTTAAGGTTGTACATGGGAAAAGTAAAAAAAAAACAAAAGGTGTCGGGGATAGATGTGAAACCAGCGTTTTTCACATTGGGCCCACCACAACCAAACTAATAAAAACCATAAATATGCCTCCTGGGGGCCAACCAGTTACGCGGGGAACACATGTTGATACAGCAATTTGGGGTTCCACACGGTGACT